AATACCTTTCACATGCAGAACCTGAGACGCATTCTTGACATCACGTGGAAAGACCACGTCACCAACAACACTGTACTCGAGAGAACAGGAGTCCCTTCAATGTTCACTCTCCTGAAGCAGAGACGCATGCGATGGCTGGGACATGTCACACACATGGAAGATGGCCGCATACCAAAGGACCTCTTGTATGGAGAACTGGCATCAGGAAGGAGACCCACCGGAAGACCTCAGCTGCGTTTCAAAGACGCCTGCAAACGTGACCTCAAGCAGATGAACATCGACATCAACACTTGGGAGGCAGCAGCTGCAGACAGATCTGCCTGGAGATGTAAAGTGCAGAAGGGGCTCCAGCAATTCGAGGATGAACTGAGAAGGCAGCCGGAGGATAATAGACTTCAGAGGAGGTCTCGACCACTGTCAGACGCACCCGCTTCAGCGTTTATCTGCGCTCGCTGCAGTCGGGACTGTCATTCTTGGGTTGGCCTTCACAGCCACAGCAGGCATTGCATCCAACTAGATTACAACAAATAGACAACCATGGCACAACTCCATAACCCCATGGGATTGACGGATGCTTACTATATACTCCCTGGACGTTAGGTCGTCAGACATCATTATTTCCAAATCCTTTACATGCTGCTTTTTCTACTATGGGCAGATTTTATTGTGTTTTGTACCCTGTATTTTGTTTAAGGTCCTCATTTTTACAGTACCTTGAGTACCTGGAATTTATCACTGTTAAATATCATGTTATTTTTTGCTGCCCAATCAAAAATGTTATTAATATCTGCTTGTAGTTTTTCAATGCATTCAGCCGAGGTAATTTTCATAATGATTTTTGTGTCATCTGCAAAGGATGACACAAAGCAGTGACTTGTATTGTTGTCTATATCTGATATGAGAATAAGGAAAAGCAGGGTCAATCAAACCCATAAGGGTCAAACTACTCATGGTTTTGCATTGTTTTTCGTGTGTCAAACTATCCATGGTATCATTTTGTTTCTCATAGTCAAACTATCCATTTTGTTTCATTTTTTCATGTGTCAAAGTACCCATGGTGTGTGAGAGAGTGTCTCTCAAGATTCTCCCACAGCTGACTTGAATGGCTCATTGCAGTGCACAGTGCACCGGTCTTGTGCACAAGGTCCTATTTCTGTTAACCCTGGATAGTGACCTGGCATGTTGGGTATCTCCAGGATGCCCACTTAACCAGGAACACTTTCATAATACTGAGACCGCCGTATGTCCAGGAAGGAAGTAGATACAGGGAGTTAAGCATACTTGCCACCAAGGGTCAGTGAGTACATTGGCCGGTGGGAGCGTGGGACAGAGGGGAGACGCTAGCAGCGTCTGATCTCTGGGGTCAACCGGCGCGATGGTGAATAACAGCTATGACGTGGTTGTGACGTGTTCATGACGTCACTCCTGCTACTGCTCATCGAACGAGCTAATATGATTGGTTCCCGCCCATTTGCTGCAATGCTGTTGATCAAATTGTAATCCCCTTGTGTGTGCCCCACAAGATGCCCTGAACTTCAGGCAAAACCATTCAAGTGAGGGAGACCAAACCCAGAGGACGGATTCTGTTCTGTCTACCGGCCAATAGACTGAACACCGTCTATTCCTCACCATCAAGTTAACTCAGCGTCTCTACGATATACGACACACTCGCCCAGAATCACGAGTGTGAATATATTGTTCAGAAGCCTAAAGTGACAAAGTCACCAGACCGAAACAGACTGGTATCAGGTAACCCCTGGTGACAAAGATCGTTGTGAGTGACTTAGAGTGAACTAAGGCAGTGCCGCCGCCTAAGTAACCTGTGTGTAGCTTTACCACAAGTGTACCTGCATGGTACCACAGCCGCCGCCAGCTGTCACTCGTCCCGAGCGTGTACCTCAGTACCTCAGTACCTCGAGGCGCCCGCCGCCGCCCTCACTACTACGTGACGTCACCACCTTACTCATCGCCAGTGCCAGTGTGTGTGTGTATGTCTGTTAAGCATACAGCACGCCCTACTGCAAGTACCCTCCGTGTCTACGAGCGAAACCAGCTGTCACGCCACCTACGAGTGCTTGTATAAATTTAGGTGCAGACTTAGGTGCAGACTTAGGTGCAGTCTCCGTGATGTAGTGGTAGGACACTCGCCCTACTGCAAGTACCTTTCGTGTCTACGAGCGAAACCAGCTGTCAGGCCACCTACGAGTGCTTGTATAAATATAGGTGCAGACTTAGGTGCAGTCTCCGTGGTGTAGTGGTAAGACACTCGCCTGGCGTTCCGCGAGCGCTATGTCATGGGTTCGTATCCTGGCCGGGGAGGATTTACTGGGCGCAATTCCTTAACTGTAGCCTCTGTTTAACGCAACAGTAAAATGTGTATTTGGATGAAAAAACGATTCTTCGCGGCAGGGGATCGTATTCCAGGGACCGTAGGATTAAGGACTTGCCCGAAACGCTACGCATACTAGTGGCTGTACAAGAATGTAACAATTGTATATATCTCAAAAAAAAAAAAATGTGCCTGAGTGAGTGAGTGAGTAAGGAAAGGTACCTTATCTGTAAGTACAAGACCTTGTCATTGTTTTATTGTGTCTGTGTTGATCTGAGGGATCAACCACAGTTCTCACCTTCTCATACCTGACACCGGTATAGGTGAGTCGACGGTGAATGCGTGTTATCTGTGTGGTATCACTGCATTTCACTATGTAATAACCCAACCATTGTAATATCGTATCCCTCTGACCTCTATGATCGTCTCTCGTGATCGAAATCGTTCGCTATCTCTGTTGTAAATTTCTTTCTCTCTTCACTCAATACCCCAGCTCAACACTGTTACAGTCCAGCATGACCCCTCACTGGACTGCCCCGTATATAAGAGGAATATTAAATGAGGAAGATACATCAAGGACAAGGGTTATTAGTTTATAAAAAAATAACAAAACTCATTAAACACTGCCACCACCTTCCGGACCAACCATACCTGAATGTGTCTATCACCGGTCCCCCAGGAAGGCAAGGCATCAGTAACCATGGCACTCCCGGGTAGTATGAACGTCAGTAATAAATTTTGGGAAATTAGTTTGTTTAATTTACTTTACTAATTTAAATCCAAGGACAACTTTAGTATCTATTAACTGTAGGAGAACATGGGGGGGGGTTGGGGGGGGGTTTCCAATTCAACACACAAAAATGACAAAGTAGAAAAATATATCAAAGGGGAGTTAAGTGAATACCACTGGACAAGTTATACAATTTATTTTATGAAATATGTAAATTAAGACAATTTGAACATATACCCTATTCTATTCCTCTAGAGGCACAATGGATATCTACTGAGGACATGAGATCAAGTGCACAATACCTTAAATTACCGCACTAAGGCCAAGATGTTGATGGCTGCCCTCAGCCCCTAGGATACGGGCTTGCGGCCCTCTAGTCCCGATACACTCCCCAAGACACACTAATGAAATTTTGTTTTACCAGCTTATTGCTGGGAAGGATTACTCCTCCCACCATCTAATACAGTCCCAGGGCTCCACCCATTATTTTGGCAATGGCCAACCATTTAACACTTAGGCCTGAGGTCTGGCTCTCTAGGGCCAATAAGGACTTGGCCCTTATCTCCCGCCAATCATCTTCCCTGAGGTGCCGTGGAAGGCTACATGAATTCCTGAAGATTGAGTCAGTTCTCCCCAGCTATGCGATGGGGACAATGTACCACTGTATTGGATACCCTCGTCTAGTGTACCTCCCGAGCAATGTTTACAAAACTGATAAATTATGTTCAAGCCTGTCTCCTGCAAGATAAAGGGTAAGGACATTTGACTCGTCTGGTATGGGGAAGGGACCACTGAGAGGGAAGAGAGGGAATGAGAGGTGGATGGAGAGGGGAAATTTGAGTGGGGGAAGCCAAAGGTATCCAAGACCAGCCTCAGGTCAACCTCTTGGCCCTGACAAATGGGCGACAGGGTGGGGGGAGAAGAAGGGGAAGAATGATGGCAAAAGGGAGGGGAGAAAGGGAGAAGGAAGGAGGGGAGAGGGGAGAAGAAATTAAAGGAGGGGAGAAGGGAGAACCAATGATCTGAGCACCAGATCATTACAACTAGTCTGTGAATGTGAGCTTCACATACACCACACATTTAGTTATTGTGTGTGATTATTATTGTGCATGTTATTGCCTGTCCCATTGACAGTGTAGTTGTGTTTATTGCATATCATCATTACCGAGTATCCGGTTGGAACTCTTGTGATCCCTTTGCATACCGGCAGTTAGGTTGCCGTGTTAATGACTGACTGTCAACTGTGTTAAGTTAGGTGTTTCTCCACGAGTGGATACGAGTCGATTAGCCAGACGTCAAGAGTCTCGCTAATACAACCATAGCTTTGCTGACGCCAATCTAAAGTAAATCAAGCACCCTGTGTATTAATGGTTAAGTTAGTAAATAAACTACTGTTAAGCTTTATGCGGTGTTTCCGTTGAACCACTTCTGAATACTGCCAACATTACACAAGCCTTCAGCTCTAAGTGTCTCCAACACTGAGTTGCCTATAAGTCACAAACTATAAATGTGATGAGGACCCTAGGAGTCCCTTAAAGTGTTTCAACCATTGAGGAGATTCCAACGATCAACGTGGACCAGGACCAGGTGAGGAGAGACCCTCAAGGACTCTAACTCGACCTTGCTCCCAGGCCCTGTACGGTTGCTCTCGTATTTTCTATTCTGCTAATTCCGACAGCTTCGTGAAGCGTCTGCCACATGTACATTGGCGACGTACACATTGCAGTCGTGAAAGTAAAAAAGAAAACCCCCACAAGGTGTCGCTTTGTTTTCATGGGTCAAACTAAACCATGGTTTTGCATTGTTTTTCATGGGTCAAAGTACCCATGATGTCTCTGTTTCTCTTGGTCAAAGTACCCATTGTGTACCCATAATGTAGCTTTGTGAATGATTCCTCATCTGTGCAATTACAATTTATATCAATTGAAAGATGGGGCTTACCTTCATCTCATCACCTTTAATGTCGAGGGAGAGAAAGTCAATTACAGTCACGTTGAGAGCCAGTAGGATGGAGTAGAGAGGAAGCGCCTTCACTTTAATAGCCTCCTTGCTGCTGTCGACGATGTGGCTCAAGACTCCTTTGTATCCAATCGGTCTACACAAGAATGTATCAGGAAATTACAGCAATTAAAATGATTCACGGCTGATGAAATAAGCAAATTTGTATTTTTCATGTACACACACATACAAACACACAGCTCAGTACATAGAGGTATCTCAAGATGAAGTGGAAAAATTACTCAATGGGTTAGGAAGAAGTGAAGAAGTTGGACCAGATGGGGTTTTACACTGGGTGCTGTGAGAATGTGCAACTGAGCTGAGCATTCTACTCCAATTAATATTTCATATATCCCTGTGTACAGGAATCTTAGCAGATATATGGAAAAAGGCGAACATACAGTAGTTACAACCTGTAAAAATGATAGCTGAGAGGAACCTCTAAATTATAGACCCCATATCATTAACAAGTGTGGTATTCAAAGCACTACAAAAAATAGTTTAAAGCAAATGGGTTGAACACCTGGAGAGTAATGTCATAATAACGTACAGACAATATGGTTCTCGAACAGGAAGATCCTGTGTAACAAGTCTACTTAAATAATGAAATAGTTTTTGTAACTCATAATGGCAAAAACATGGGTAGCATTCTTAATAAGTACTTTGACCTTTCTATTGATCAAATCTACATAGGTGGTGAAGAGGGCAGTTTAACATTTATAGTGGGTACCAGGGAGGAAGTTATTATTAAACAAATTGAAAAATGAAAGTCCAATAAATGCTCAGAACCAAACGAACCATTTGTCAGGGTCCTTAAAGAATGTACAGATACATTTAGTAAGCCCCTGCTTTACATATTTCATATATCATTAGAGTTGAACAGAGTACCAAAATTCTGAAATATCATTAATGTGGTGCTAATTTTACATGAATTTATTCGAGTGCCTCTAACGCTAGTGGCCTTGATGAGGACAGCAAGCCAGCGGCTTGCCAAACTCTTTGCCCTGATTATCTTTTCTAGTTGGATTTTAAAATTGAACAGAGTTTTGGCATTTACGGCTTCGATGGGTAAGTAGTTCTGTGGGTTTGTTAACCTTTGCTTTATTTGTTATAAAGTTTTAATACTGTTAAATACTGTTAAATACTGTTTGTTTGTTATGCACCTGAAGGTAACTGTGGTGAAAAAGCATCTCCTGTTCTCAGCCCTACATTGTCAAAATGCCGGCCAATTAGTTTAATGTCTTTTGTGGAAAAATTTGATTTTGTCAATAATAAAATTTTAATTTGTTTATACTGTACTTGAAAAAATTCATAAAAGTTACACAGCATGGCTTTGCTAAGAGTCACTCTTATTTAACAAATCTCTTTCGATTGATATCCAATATATATGATGCAGTCGATAGTGGAGACAACTGAGGCATAATGTACATTGACAAGCAAATCGTTTGGTATTGTGCTTCACATAAGACTAATTAACTGAATGGTAAAGGCATATGGTATTTTTACTTACTTGAAGAAAACTTCATTTGAAACACTATTGAGTGCCACTGCTGTATTCACTGAGTAAGCCTTCCTGTTTTTAGATAGAAGTTTTTCATAGGTTTCAGGAAAAGGTTCCACGAGAAGTCCTGTCCAGTTCCGTTTTCTCTCCAAAAACAATGTGTTGCTAAGATATTCGCCATCCGTGGCACCAACCTCCACGAAGAATCCATCTTTCTGTAACACAGTTATTAATCTATTATGCTGAACATGACTGCTGTATACACCTACACATAATAGTTACATGGGCAGCATGAACATTGCCTGCTGTTTACACCCAATACATCATCTCTGATCTTGACATTTACTGAAGAGAATCTAGCTTGTGATCTAGGCTCACGTCCCAAACAAATGTGATATAAAAATACCACAAGAAAGTCCTTTGGCATCTCAAAATGTTTTTTTAATACTGGATGTCGAACCATGTGAGATGTACGATAAATCACATTAACAAAGTGTTCATTCAGGTGAAAACAATCTTCAACAATATGAATAAAATCTTCAACCATCTTGAAATATTAGGTATAAAAAATGGTTCCACATATTTTTTTAATTAACTTCTTCCTGCATATAAAGTAACTTCAATCAATTATTTGGACTGAACGCTTCCTTGAACTACATACTTTGATGTACAAATAAAAAAAATGGTTGAATATGAATATTTATTACTTTAGCCACTGCAATGATTATTATTAATAATAACAATAATAATTTATTTCCAAGAAGGTACAATGAGTTGGTGAGATTACAGAACATTGGTACTTTTTACATACATGCAAAGCCACTAATAATCATAGCATTTTGAGAAGGTCCTTAATAATATAAAAATTGGAATGAGAACAGAAATAATTTTTTAAATATATTAAGAGAAAAACACCTGGTATTTATACAAAAATATTCAATGCTGAAAAAGAGAGAGACACGTAAAGGCAGACAGATAGGGATAGATTTAGAAAAACTGACTGAAGCCGGTATAGAAAAGGTGACTGAAAGAAAGAAAATGAGGAAAGACTGTCAAACAAAAATACATTTAAAAAAAAGGCTGAGAGCAAGTGGCAGCTAAAGAAAGGCTGACAGAGATAGATTAAGAAAGGCTGAAAGACTAAGACATATCCGGAAAGAAATGACAGATCTACTGAGATTTAGAATGGCTGACAGAGTGAGAGATCTACAAACACTAACAAAGACCAAGAAACACTGAGAGACATAAATCAAGAAAGGCTGACAGAGAAAGACTTAGATAATCTGACAGAGAAAGACCTAGATAATCTGACAGAGAAAGACCTAGATAATCTGACAGACATAAATCGATCAAGAAAGTCTGAAAGACATATTTAGCCTTTATATATATATGGTCATGTATAGACCAAGAACAGTTGACAGATAAACTAAGAAAGGCTGTCAGACAGAGATAACTCAAGAAAGCCTGAAAGATAGACTACGAACGACTAAGAGATACAGTTCAAGAAAAGTTGACAGACGGAAATGGACCATAGACCAAGAAAGGATGGCAGATAGATATAGATCAAGAAAGGCTGATAGATGAATATATACCAAAAAAGGCTGACAGAAATCGATATAAGAGGCTGAGATACGGAGCTAGAGACATAAATAGACTTAAAGAGGCTGACACAGAGACAGGCCAAGTAAGGCTGCCAGATGTAGACAACAAACCAAAAATGGCTGAGAGAGATAAATAAAGAAAGACTGACAGACGAATCTAGGCAATAGACCAAGAAAGGCTGGAATAAACATATCAAGAAAAAAGAGATAGATGGATGTTGACAATAGACCAAGAAAGACTGATAGAGATAAACCAAAAAATGCTGACCGAAACAGACTGAGAAAGGCTGACAAACGAAAATTGACAAAGAAACGCTGACAGATATTTATTTTATTTATTTATTTATATACGAGAAGATACATTGAATTTATGAGAGTACAGAGCATTAAAGTTTTACATTCTAGTAAAGCCACTAGCATGCATAGCATTTCGAGCAGATCCTTAATCTAACCTATAATTTTAAGAAGGTAATTTCTAGCAAAATTATAAAAAAATTTACAGGTACATTGTAAGATAGACCCAATAAAAATGGACAGACATAGATAAATCAAGAAACACTGACGGATACAGTTCAAGTAAGAACAATCAAGACCACTGAGGTAGACCATGCTCACCATGCCATGCAGGAGATCTTCGTCAACATAGGCGGACTGATCAAACTGGGACTGGTGTTCCACCTCGGGGTAGGTGAGGTTGTAGGAAAGGCTGGAGGGCGGGTCCAGGAGGCGTCGACGGATGTAGGTCACCAGGGCTGGGTCCTCCTGGTCTGATCCGGGGAAGGTTGCGTCTGTCAACACTCGCTCTGTGGGCACCACAGGAAAAATAAAACAAGAGGTCTGGTCTTTCTCTACTACTACTGAAGCTCAGCGATTATATTTAGGAGTGCCAAAATATAGTGCCGTAGGAGTGCCGCAGGGCAGCATCCAAGGACCTCTCTTATTTCTTATATACATCAATGATCTGCCTAATTTTTTTTTTTTTTTTTTTTTTTTTTGAGATATATACAAGAGTTGTTACATTCTTGTACAGCCACTAGTACGCGTAGTGTTTCGGGCAGGTCCCTGGAATACGATCCCCGCCGCGAAGAATCGTTTAATGTCTTTAATGTCTCTAATGTCTCTAACATTCTTAATCCTAAACTATTTGCTGATGATACTACCTTCATCTACTCAGACCCCAACCCACACACACTAAGTAATGTTGTAAATAGCGAATTAAAAAAAGTCCACTCATGGATGTCAACCAACAAACTCACACTAAACATAGAAAAGACCTACTACATCTTATTTGGAAGCAAATTAACCAATGCAATTCAACTAAAGATAGACACTGTTAACATCAGCAATCAAAAGGATGGTAAGTTCCTTGTAGGCTGGTCTATACATAGACAAGAGACTCAACTTCTGCAGCCACATACAACAACACATTACCAAAAAATTATAAAAAGTCGGTATTCTTTCTAAAATCAGATACTGTATTATATTCCAAATTCTGCTCTACTTTGTTTAAATCCCGAAACATGCTAAACATTAACTCACTCCACACATTCTCTTATGCCATTTACATGTACAAAACCTTGTTCCTAGATAAACCTTGATCTGAAACTCTTCCTAGACAGATGTAATAGAACCCATAAACACCACACCAGAAATAAATATCTCTGTGATATCCCCAGAGTCAAACTAAATCTGTGTAAACACTCTATGCAAACAAAGGGACATAGTCTATGGAACTTACTCCCTAACAAATTAAAAAGCTGTCCATCTACCCCTTATTCAAAAGTAACACCAAAAAGTACCTGGGCGTAACCTCCCACGGTGCAGGAAAGTGCCGTTGTTGTTTCTCTTGGTACAAATTGTGAACCTGATACATTCTGAGTTGAGTTCCAGTTTTAGTTTTCCATTTGGAACAATGCTGATAAATTAACTCTGGAGGGCTTCTGTGCAAGGGTTAGGATGAGTTAGCCTAAGCATTTTTATTAACTGTCAAATTGGTATAAAAATGCTTAGGCTAACTCATCCAAACCCTTGCACAGAAGCCCTCCAGAATTTAGAAGGATTTGGATTTGGAAACATTTGGGTAGATTTGGGTAGATTTGGGTAATTCTATGGACCGCTGGGACTTGCTTAAGTTTTAGTCTTTAGTGTTTTTCCTGCCCGAAACGCTTTGCGTAATAGTGGCTTTAGGCATTGTATGTACTAGCTCCATCTATAAATCCATCAATGTTTTGTATCACACCCTTTATGTATGTACTTTACCTGAATAAACATTTGAATTTTGAATTTGAATGTTGACACGACACGACAGAAGCCAACACCAGCGTGCCACCCAACGATACAGCATACATAAATGCCTCGTGACCTCCACGCGGCTGACAACGTGTTTATACGAGTTGATACTGTCCGCCACCCACTACAATCACTTCACAATGATCCCTTTAAAGTCACTTCCCGTACACTAAAATATTTTAACCATAGAATTCTGAAGCAAGGAGAACATCTCTCTCGGCTTCCTTGACCACATAGGGGTCATCACAACAAAGAGACCATCACAATACAGGAGTCACCACAACAGTCATCACAAGACGGGTCATCACCACACGGGTCATCACAGCGCAAGTTATCAAAACCCAGAGATCATCCTCTGGCTTTCTGTACAACACAGGAAGGGAAAGGATATATCAGGGGAACCGCCTGTTGTTGTTTGTTGTTTAAGAGTCAGCTACTAGGAACAAAAAGTTCCAAGTAGCACGGGCTATGGTGAGCCCGTAGTGGATTTACCTGGCACAGGAGCGGGGCTGTAACTTGGGTTGATAGGGAAACCGCCAAGCCACCACGCCTATATAGCACTTGAAAGGGATCAGAATAAGGATTTGGGATGAGACGGGGGAAAAGGAATGGTGCCCAACCACCTGGACAGTCGGGGATTGAACGTTCACAACACAGGAGACATCACAACATACCAGCAGTGAAGGAGCTAATGATCTGTACCGGGTGCCGGTGGGTGGCTATACAGAACACAGCGGCCATGAAGAGCAATGTCCCGGACATCTGGAGTACCTCTGGCTGTCTGTACCATTTGGTAGAAGATGTCACCATTCTGTTGACAATATCACTTGTTAGGACTCTCCTGTACAAGACGCTATATTGATATATACTGGTGATGGATGGTATACATTTTGGAGATACTTATTGTACCTGTACTTGGAAGTATCAAATACCTTGTGCCACAACGTCATATTGTGCATCATGATGATACATTGAGAAATGTTATAAATTAATTATTGATTGACTTATAACATTAACCTAACGTGGACCGTGGACCTGCGTAAAGCTTTCGATACTGTCAACCACCAAAACCTTCTTCTTAAATTACATCATTATGGTGTCAGAGGACACTCCCTACAATACCTCAAATCCTACCTTACTGACAGGCTCCAATGTGTTTCTGTGAATAATACAATTTCTGCACACATACTCACCTCACATATTCACTTATTCATTGTGAATAATTACAATTCGCACACCCTCCGTCACTATGTGATGGAGTGCGAAAAGATACGTGAATTTAGAGACAATTCTATAACCAATGTTCCAGCGATGTGTCAATATTTCATTCAAAATGATCTGCTACCAGAAATTTTAGCCAAATATCCCCAGTTTGCTAACTGTAGGTAGTAACTAAGTGATTGTAACCTATCCACCGCTGCCCACTGGATGGGGGGCGGTGTGCAGGACAAACATATAAATTTTGACACTAGCTCTCCACATATGTCAGTTGCTTAATTTAGAACCTGTACTTGAGGTCGATCTCGAACCCATTGTTGATGTGATGACTTATATTGAATTTTGTAACTAGCTCATCAAGATTGTAACTTGCTTAGCTAAATGAATTGTGGGGTTCAGTCCCTGAGCCCATTATGTGCCTCTGTAACCCTTTCCACTACCGCTCACAAGATGGGTATGGGGTGCATAATAAATGAACTAAACTAAACTAAATTCCTTGGCATTCTCATTGACCACAAGCTGAATTTCCAGGGACACATTCTAAACATATCAAAAAAAGTTTCAAAAACTGTGGGCATTCTTTCTAAGATCAGATATTATGTACCACGCCCTGCCCTGGTGACTCTCTATTACTCCCTTATCTATCCATATCTCAACTATGGTATTTGTGCTTGGGGCTCTACTACCCAAAATCACTTACGTCCTCTAATTACTCAACACAAAGCTGCTATTAGGACAATATCCAATTCTGGCCCCAGACATCACTCGGTACCCCTACTCAAATCTCTGAATATGTTAGACATTAAGTCACTGCACATTCTCTCATGTGTATTATACATATATAAAACGCTAAACTATAATGCCAATCCTGATCTCAAAAGCTTCATAGAAGGTTGTAACAGAACCCATGAGCACCACACCAGAAATAAATACAGTTTTGATATTCCTAGAGTACGACTAAATCAAACCAGAAATGCTCTACAAATCAAGGGGCCCAGAATGTGGAATGACCTTCCCAACCATGTTAAAGACTGTACCTCTCTCAACCAGTTTAAGTTAAAAACGAAGCTATACCTAATAAATTCCATGTAACCCACCTTACCCCCCTGTTGTCAACCCATGTATATTTTTTGTTTTTCAAATCAACGCTGTTTGAATGTAATTTTCTGTAATAATTTGTAATTGTATTTGTGCTGCTTTTTCAACAATGTTCCCCCCTCTTTTACCTCTATTTTTTATATGTACTCATCACATCTTTTCTTTTTACCCATTAGTTTTAAGCTGTAGTCATTAATGTTTTTCCTGCCCGAAACGCTTTGCGTAATAGTGGCTTTAGGCATTGTATGTACTAGCTCTATCTATAAAGCCAACAAACTTTGTAAATCTCTTTATGTATGTACCTTACCTAAATAAAGATTATTATTATTAATATTATTATTAATCTGGCATTATGACAAGGGTAACTGGTTTCGCTTAAAAAAATGTAATACAGGAAACCAGCTTAAAATTAATTACGAATTAACGTATTAAACAAAAGCGATGTTGGATAAACCTATAATCGCAAAGAGATAAATGTGTGTTATAGTATCTGCCACTGTGGATTATACAACTCGGTTGAATGTCATCGCCACTCAAAATAATTAAAGAAAGCGGATACATCAGAAAAGCTAAAATTCGTGTAAAGTCAATATCATAAAAGGTCTTAATACTAAGATAATATTAAATATTGATATACCAAAGAGGAATGATGATACACTAGCAAGGCACATTAGATAACTTGTTTTGAATTTTTGAATTTTGAATTTGAACTTACCTGTTGGTTACGTCAAGCGGGAGCCTAGTATTAGAAGTTGTTGGTGCGGAGTCACCAGTGGCAGTGAGCACACTTGTACTGACTGTAACATCAGCTGGCAGCGTTCAGGTGTTCAAACACCTGCACATGTTAAGCTACAGACTGCACATGTTAAGCTACAGACTGCACATGTGGTCGGTCGCAATCCCTTTGTTGATGTAACAATACTTGTTACAGCATTACAATTATTTGTTAGATTAAGGACCTGCCCGAAACGCTGTACGTGTTTAGTGGCTTTACAAGAGTGTAAAAACATCAATGCTGTGTACTCTCGTAAACCCAATGTATCTTCTTGTATATAAATAAATAAATAAATATAATACATGTTAACAACGCGGGATTTTCGGAGAAAAAGCAATAAGCCATGCCCGCGGAGAAGCCCGTTAAGCCGCCTATATATTTGCCTGTATCTCAAATTGCAAATTGTTACTTACAGTGTACCTGAGAGTACTTGTAAGCAATCTACCTCATTTTTTCATTTTTTGCTTAATTTGTTTTTGTATTGTTTAGTCTTGTTTATATCTTTGTTTTGTATTTCTATATCTTTTGTTTTTGTATAGTCCATGTTTATATGTTTTTTCTTTAATCTCATTTATTACCTAGGTTGCCTAGCCTCACCATACTCCCTTACTCCATTGTACCCCTGTAAGCCCCTTGTAAGCTACCTCATTTTTTTCTTTTGTTGCTCATTTTGTGTTTGTTTTGTACAGTATTGTTTACATATTTTTCCCCCTTTTATAGCTTAATTCTACCTTGTAATTTGCCTTTCTTGCGTTGTTTTCCTGCAATCAGCTTTTTTATGCAGACAAGTATAGACCCAGAACTAAACCTCTTATCCACTATCTATGACAATCATCACTTTAATGATCTAAATTGCAGATATTTTGCAGCACATGATGTAAACAATGTATTAACTCATAATGCCCGAAACCCGAAACCCTTATGTCCGAAACGCTTTGCGTAATAGTGGCTTTAGGCATTGTATGTACTAGCTCTACCTATAAGTCAACCAATCTTTGTAAAAATTTCTTGTATGTATTTCTTACCTTACCTAAATAAACATTTTATTTTATTTTTAATCACAATATCTCTGTAATCAACTTGAACGTTAGATCCCTAGGTAAACACTTCGATGATGTTAGTGCCTTGATTGAAACTATTGACAACAAATTCTCTTTTATTATACTTACTGAAACATGGTTGAAAGAGGATACTACTCAACTCTTTAACATGCCTAACTACTCGGCAATTCACAACTGTCGTCAACTTCAGAGAGGTGGGGGCACTGCTCTTTACTACCACCAAGAACTAACATGCTTAAAAGAAATTAGAACTAGAGACTGCTATGGGGAGTATATCTTCGCCAGCTTCAGAGTCAAGGGTGCCGAGTCTGTCCTGTCTGTGGGTGCAGTCTATAGAATTCCTAACACTGATGTGTCAGAATTCAACTCAAACCTTAGAAATCTAATACTTGATAACAGACTGAACAAAAACCATCTAATTATCGCAGGGGACTTTAATATTGACCTCTGCGAGCCTGAACACCCTACTGCTGTTAGCTTCCTCAACTGTATGAATTCCTGCTTCCTCATACCCTTAATCACTAGACCTACTAGAATCACTGATAGCACTAGCCACGACTCTAGATCACATCTGGACAAACATAACCTCTCCGCTTACTTCAGGTATAATCACCGATAGCACTACAGACCATTACCCCACATTTCTCTTAACTAACATTAGCAAACCACCTCTAGAGTCAAGAGAGTTAAGTTTTAGACTGCACAATGAAACTGCTATAGACAATTTTATAACTGCTGCTGATAATGTCAACTGGGAGTCCGAGATAGGTAACATAGAGGACATCAACCTAGCAGTGCAATCTTTTCTTCAAAAAACTCTTAGCCTTTATAACACCCACTGTCCTATGCTTACAAAACAAGTCACAACCAAAAGGCTTAACAATCCCTGGCTTACAAAGGGAATACTTAAATCCATTAATAAAAAACATGACCTTGAGAAGAAGTATAGGTTAGGAATTGTCTCCAAAGAATTCTCAAAGAATTACTCATTATTGCTATCTAAGATAATTAGACGAGCCAAAACTAAATACTACGAAGATAAATTTACCCAAATAAAGAGCAACATTAAACAAACTTGGAGCACAATTTCACAAATATTGGGATCAAAGAAGTCTTTAAATAACAAACCAACACTCCTGTCCAATAACGATGGTCAGCTTTCAGCCTCTGATTCTGCTATTGAGTTCAATAGGTTCTTCTCTTCCATTGGGTCATCCCTTGCAAATGATATTCCATCTTCCAGTACTGACATTAAGGACTATCTTACAGGTAACTATCCAGTCTCTGTACCTAAAGCCTATTAATTCCACTGACGTCAATGAGATAATCCTTTCCCTTAAAACCAAGTCTAGTGCCCTTGAGGAGATACCAACTTTAATTTACAAAAAAGCCTCCAGATCTTTAGCCCCTGCTATTGCATTGCTCTTCAACAAGTCACTTGAACTCCAAACCTTTCCAGATATTCTAAAAAAAAAGCGAGAGTAACGCCTGTCCACAAATGTGGTGATCTCACAGATGTTAACAACTACAGACCTATATCAATCCTGCCAAACTTGTCAAAAATTTTTGAAAAACTAATCTATAAGCAGCTTTACTCTTATCTAGCCAAACACAATATACTTAGCCCTTGCCAATATGGCTTCAGACCCAAAAAAAGCACTAACGATGCACTTATTAGTATGCTTAACTCGATTCATACAGCTCTTGATAAAAATGAGTTCCCTGTTGGGTTATTTGTGGACCTGCGTAAAGCTTTTGACACTGTCAACCACCAAAACCTTCTTCTTAAATTACATCATTATGGAGTCAGAGGACACTCCCTGCAATACCTCAAATCTTACCTTACTGACAGGCTCCAATATGTTTCTGTGAATAATACAATTTCTCCCACCCTACCCATCAACATTGGTGTTCCTCAGGGCAGCATACTTGGCCCTCTCCTCTTTCTCATCTACATTAATGACCTTCCAAATGCCTCCCAACACCTCAAACCAATTCTATTTGCTGACGACACAACCTTCATTTACTCCAGTCCTGACCCCCTTGCTCTAAATGCCACAGTAAATACTGAGCTAAATAAAGTCCATCTTTTTTTTTTTTTTTTTTTTGAGATATATACAAGAGTTGTTACATTCTTGTACAGCCACTAGTACGCGTGGCGTTTCGGGCAGGTCCCTGGAATACGATCCCCTGCCGCGAAGAATTGTTTTTTCATCCAAGTACACATTTTACTGTTGCGTTAAACAGAGGCTACAGTTAAGGAATTGCACCCAGTAAATCCTCCCCGGCCAGGATACGAACCATGACAGCGCTCGCGGAACACCAGGCGAGTGTCTTACCACTACACCACGGAGACATCTTTGGCTAACTGCCAACAAACTCACCCTTAACATTGACAAAACTTTCTATATTCTGTTTGGCAATAAATCCTCTAATCAAATAAATCTCAAAATAAACAATACCCAAATTTGTAACAAATTAGATGGCAAATTCCTTGGCATTCTCATTGACCACAAGCTGAATTTCCAGGGACACATTCTAAATATATCAAAAAAAGTTTCAAAAACTGTGGGCATTCTTTCTAAGATCAGATATTATGTACCACGCCCTGCCCTGGTGACTCTCTATTACTCCCTTATCTATCCATATCTCAACTATGGTATTTGTGCTTGGGGCTCTACTACCCAAAATCATTTACGTCCTCTAATTACTCAACACAAAGCTGCTATTAGGACAATATCCAACTCTGGCCCCAGACATCACTCGGTACCCCTACTCAAATCTCTGAATATGTTAGACATTAAGTCACTGCACATTCTCTCATGTGTATTATACATATATAAAACGCTAAACTGTAATGCCAATCCTGACCTCAAAAGCTTCATAGAAGGTTGTAACAGAACCCATGAGCACCACACCAGAAATAAATACAGTTTTGATATTCCTAGAGTACGACTTAATCAAACTAGAAATGCTCTACAAATCAAGGGACCCAGAATGTGGAATGACCTTCCCAACCATGTTAAAGACTGTACCTCTCTCAACCAGTTTAAGATAAAAACGAAGCTATACCTAATAAATTCCCTGTAACCTACCTTACCCCTCTATTGTCAACCAATGTCTGTTTTTTTTAAAGAGCGCTGTTTGTCGACAGAATTGTATTTGTGCTGCTTTTTCAGCTATGTTCTCATTTCTTGTTTTCATTTTACTCTTTATGCTGAATTAGTATTAAGCTTTAGTCATTTAAGTTTTTCATGCCCGAAACGCTTTGCGTAATAGTGGCTTTAGGCATTGTATGTACTAGCTCTATATAAATCTAAAATATAATGTACCACCAATAAAATTTGTAAAAATCTCTTGTATAATAATAATAATAATAATAATTTTTATTTAGGCAAAGGTACATACATAAAGAGATTTTACAAAGTTTGTTGGCTTTATAGATAGAGCTAGTACATACAATGCCTAAAGCCACTATTACGCAAAGCGTTTCGGGCAGGAAAAAACACTACTGACTAAAGCTTAAAACTAATGGGTAAAAAGAAAAAAATGCGTTGAGTACAAATAAAAATAGAGGTAAAAGAGGGGGGGAACATTGTTGAAAAAACAGCACAAATACAATTATAAATTATTACAGAAAATTACATTAAAACAGCGTTGATTTGTAAAACAAAAAAAAAACTATTACAAAAAAAAAACATACATGGGTTGACAATAGAAGGGTAAGGTAGGTTACATGGAATTTATTAGGTATAGCTTCGTTTTTAACTTAAACTGGTTGAGAGAGGTACTGTCTTTAACATGGTTGGGAAGGTCATTCCACATCCTGGGCCCCTTGATTTGTAGAGCATTTCTGGTTTGATTAAGTCGTACTCTAGGAATATCAAAACTGTATTTATTTCTGGTGTGGTGCTCATGGGTTCTGTTACAACCTTCTATGAAGCTTTTGAGATCAGGATTGGCATTACAGTTTAGCGTTTTGTATATGTATAATACACATGAGAGAATGTGCAGTGACTTAATGTCTAACATATTCAGAGATTTGAGTAGGGGTACCGAGTGATGTCTGGGGCCAGAGTTGGATATTGTCCTAATAGCAGCTTTGTGTTGAGTAATTAGAGGACGTAAGTGATTTTGGGTAGTAGAGCCCCAAGCACAAATACCATAGTTGAGATATGGATAGATAAGGGAGTAATAGAGAGTCACCAGGGCAGGGCGTGGTACATAATATCTGATCTTAGAAAGAATGCCCACAGTTTTTGAAACTTTTTTTGATATGTTTAGAATGTGTCCCTGGAAATTCAGCTTGTGGTCAATGAGAATGCCAAGGAATTTGCCATCTAATTTGTTACAAATTTGGGTATTGTTTATTTTGAGATTTATTTGATTAGAGGATTTATTGCCAAACAGAATATAGAAAGTTTTGTCAATGTTAAGGGTGAGTTTGTTGGCAGTTAGCCACAGATGGACTTTATTTAGCTCAGTATTTACTGTGGCATTTAGAGCAAGGGGATCAGGACTGGAGTAAATGAAGGTTGTGTCGTCAGCAAATAGGATTGGTTTGAGGTGTTGGGAGGCATTTGGAAGGTCATTAATGTAGATGAGAAAGAGGAGAGGGCCAAGTATGCTGCCCTGGGGAACACCAATGTTGATGGGTAGGGTGGGAGAAATTGTATTATTCACAGAAACACATTGGAGCCTGTCAGTAAGGTAGGATTTGAGGTATTGTAGGGAGTGTCCTCTGACACCATAATGATGTAATTTAAGAAGAAGGTTTTGGTGGTTGACAGTATCGAAAGCTTTACGCAGGTCCACAAATAACCCAACAGGGAACTCATTTTTATCAAGAGCTGTATGAATCGAGTTAAGCATACTAATAAGTGCATCGTTAGTGCTTTTTTTGGGCCTGAAGCCATATTGGCAAGGGCTAAGTATATTGAGTTTGGCTAGATATGAGTAAAGCTGCTTATAGATTAGTTTTTCAAAAATTTTTGACAAGTTTGGCAGGATTGATATAGGTCTGTAGTTGTTAACATCTGTGAGATCACCACATTTGTGGACAGGCGTTACTCTCGCTTTTTTTAGAATATCTGGAAAGGTTTGGAGTTCAAGTGACTTGTTGAAGAGCAAAGCAATAGCAGGGGCTAAAGATCTGGAGGCTTTTTTGTAGATTAAAGTTGGTATCTCCTCAAGGGCACCAGACTTGGTTTTAAGGGAAAGGATTATCTCATTGACGTCAATGGAATTAATAGGCTTTAGGTACAGAGACTGGGGATAGTTCCCTGTAAGATAGTCCTTAATGTCAGTACTGGAAGATGGAATATCATTAGCAAGGGATGAACCAATGGAAGAGAAGAACCTATTGAACTCAATAGCAGAATCAGAGGCTGAAAGCTGACCATCGTTATTAGACAGGAGAGTCGGTTTGTTATTTAAAGACTTCTTTGATCCCAATATTTGTGAAATTGTTCTCCATGTTTGTTTAATGTTGCTCTTTATTTGGGTAAATTTATCTTCGTAGTATTTAGTTTTGGCTCGTCTAATTATCTTAGATAGCAATAATGAGTAATTCTTTGAGAATTCTTTGGAGACAATTCCTAACCTATACTTTTTCTCAAGGTCATGTTTTTTATTAATAGATTTAAGTATTCCCTTTGTAAGCCAAGGATTGTTAAGCCTTTTGGTTGTGACTTGTTTTGTAAGCATAGGACAGTGGGTATTATAAAGGCTAAGAGTTATTTGAAGAAAAGATTGAACTGCTAGGTTGATGTCCTCTATGTTACCTAACTCGGACTCCCAGTTGACATTATCAGTAGCAGTTATAAAATTGTCTATAGCAGTTTCATTGTGTAGTCTAAAACGTATCTCTCTTGACTCAAGAGGTGGTTTGCTAATGTTAGTTAAGAGAAATGTGGGGTAATGGTCTGTAGTGCTATCGGTGATTATACCTGAAGTAAGCGGAGAGGTTATATTTGTCCAGATGTGATCAAGAGTCGTGGCAGTGCTATCAGTGATTCTAGTAGGTCTAGTGATTAAGGGTATGAGGAAGCAGGAATTCATACAGTTGAGGAAGCTAACAGCAGTAGGGTGTTCTGGCTCGCAGAGGTCAATATTAAAGTCCCCTGCAATAATTAGGTGGTTTTTGTTCAGTCTGTTATCAAGTATTAGATTTCTAAGGTTTGAGTTGAATTCGGACACATCAGTGTTAGGAATTCTATAAACTGCACCCACAGACAGGATAGACTCGGCACCCTTGACTCTGAAGCTGGCGAAGATATACTCCCCATAGCAGTCTCTAGTTCTAATTTCTTTTAAGCATGTTAGTTCTTGGTGGTAGTAAAGAGCAGTGCCACCACCTCTCTGAAGTTGACGACAGTTGTGGATTGCTGAGTAGTTAGGCATGTTAAAGAGTTGAGTAGTATCATCTTTCAACCATGTTTCAGTAAGTATAATAAAAGAGAAATTGTTGTCAATAGCTTCAATCAAGGCACTAACATCATCGAAGTGTTTGCCTAGGGATCTAACGTTCAAATTGATTACAGAGATATTGTGACTATGAGTTAATACATTGTTTACATCATGTGCTGCAAAATATCTGCAATTTAGATCATTAAAGTGATTATTGTCATAGATAGTGGATAAGAGGTTAAGTTCTGGGTCTATACTTGACTGCATAAAAAAAAGCTGATTGCCGGAAAAACAAGAGAAACAAAAAGAAATAAATGTACACAATACTGTACCAAACAAACACAAAAGGGGCTTACAGGGGTACAATGGAGTATGGCTAGGCTAGGAAACCTAGGTAATGAATGAGATTAAAGAAAAAAACATATAAACATGGACTATACAAAACACAAGATATAGATATACAAAACAAAAATATAAACAAGACTAAGCAATACCAAAAAAATTGAGCAAAAATGAAAAATGAGGTAGATTGCTTACAGGTACTCTCAGGTACAATGTAAGTAACAATAGACAGAAAATATATATCAATATAGAAAAGAATGTCACAATACAATAAGATAACAATTACATGAACAGATGAAAAACAAATCTGCTGTAAAATAGGAAGTAATTATAGCAAAACACAATATACAAGTTTGGCGGAGAGAACAAAAAATCAGTAGAGACTGTCAAGATGAATATATAAAAAAATTTGACAAATGATAATTGTAAAGTAAAATAATCTTAAAGATAATAAATTTTATTAAGCTTAGTTTTAACTTATAATTAGTATGAACTTAATTAAAAGAACAAAAATGAGATCAATAATTGATTTAAAAAAAATGACATAGATCAATACAAATAAATTTAAAATATAAATGGAATAGGGTAAGATTAGATTTAAGAGTAAAATTTTACAATGAAACTGAGGTAGATGCTTGCATAAGTGCATGGAGACTTGATGGATTATTTAGGAAATTATAGGAATAGGAGAACATCAGGTAAATGGTAAGGCAGAGACAGCACCTTAGACAAAGTTAGATTAAGTTAGGTTAGGTATGTATGTACCTTACCTAAATAAACATTTATTTATTTATTTATTTATTTATTTATTTATTTATTTATTTATTTATTTATTTATTTATTTATTTATAAATTATAAGTTCATCTAATATTCCCATCTCACAGGATGGTTAGTCATACATGGAATCAGAGGAGAAAATACCTGCCTCAATACAAAAACAAATCAACTCTGCCTAAACTGCTGTAAACCTAAGCTGGGTTTAGGTTAAAAAAAAATCGTAATTTGGGCTCGTAGGCCGTAGGGGGGCGTCAACCTTGACAGTCATACACTGTCAACTGAGGGCGCGTCCGATTCCGTAATCGTTGCCGCCTTTAAATCAACAACGCTGTCATCCTGGGGAACGCCAGGGGGTTTCAAGCTCCTACTTTACAGTGTTTTTATCCTTCGCAGGGCGCAGAAGTTGCTTCCCCCTGCAGGCGACTTTATATCCTTTGGAATTCTATTTTTTTCCCGACACGAGATCGAAGGAATACATACGGGGGCAGTAGTGTTGTAGCTGCCCCTATCCCAGTAACAACAACAACAACAGCTGATTCGTCTCAAGACCAGTATCAAGAAGAAGACCAGGATAAACACCTGCCAATAGTACGATAATTATATCCACTACAGCAAGTTCCCTATGTTGTTGGAAATATGTATAATTGTTAATTTTGTCAGGAATAGGAGACGTGTGTGTGTGTGTATATATGTGTCAAGATCCCTCCCCAGGTCGAACTGCTACCCTTCCTTAGGATGCAACCACATAACAGTTACCTAACTACTGGGTACTTATTTGTTAAGTGAAATTTACTGTTACGTGAATAGAGACATTAGGTGAAATGAAATGTACCTAACCATTTCTGTCCCATATCCTGGAATCAAACTCGAGATCCGCGATTGTGTGTTTACAACGAAACCAATTGTTCTACTTGATCATTTCATGCAATCTGTTATCATTTTTGTCTATAATTTTGCAAGTATTTACCTCCTTAAAATTTTCTTAGATTAAGGACCTGCCCGAAACGCTGCGCGTGCTAGTGGCTTTACAAGACTGTAATTACCATATTTGTATCCTCACATTCCTTATGTACATTCTTGTATATGCATAAATAAATAAATAAATAAATAAACTTGTTCGGTCCATCTAATTACCACAAGCTACCACAAGCTACACAAGCTTCACAAAGCTTCCTGGCAATACATTAGAAATGAATAAATATATTTACTCATTATAATGTTGGTACTGAATGTACAACACGAAAAAACATAACTTTAATCTGAAAAAGTATCTTTTTATAAAGAAATTAGACGAAAATAAAGAGCTGGTGACGCCAAATCAAGTTGACGATCCAAGCGTCGGTTAGGTTAGGTCAGGTCAGCCTAACCTAACATATCATATTTATTCATTACTAACGTATTGCCAGGAAGCTTTGTGAAGCTTGTGTAGCTTGTGGTAGCTTGTGGTAATTAGACGGACCCTACTTGTTGTTTGTGTAAGATCATCATTGATAATATTGGTCTGAGGTTCAGTAGATAAGGGTTATGGTCACATCATATGCAAGTGTTTCAATAAAACTCAGTTTCTAATTGTCAAAATCATATATTGTATATCATCAGCAGCAGACCTTACAGCAGACTGATGAAGAATATGACCTTGGAGTCAGAATCCATCATTCTCTAGAAGTTGCACAACAAGTGTGAGCGGCAGTAAATAAAAGCTAACTAAACCCTAGGAATAATCAAGCGTACCTTAGACTTTAAGGAAAAGAAAGTAGTCATTCAAGTGTATGTCTTTGGTGCATCTCTACCTGGATTATTGCATCCAGGCATGGATACATCATCTCCAGAAAGAAATAACTTTATTGGAGAAATTTCAACCCCCCCAAGGCCAAATTACCGACCCCGTCCAGGATGCAACCCCACAACAAGCTGACTAACTCATAAATACAACTCAGTGCTAGGTAAACAGAGGCATTAGGTGAAAGGAAATGTGCCCAACCATTTCTGTCCTGCTCAGGATTCGAACCTGGAATTCTCGATTGTGCATTGAGAATGAATCAGACTGTACTACCAGGACCCTCCTCTCACTCTCTCTACTCTCATACTTTGTTCCCCCATCATACTGTTAGGGAAACAACTACTACACCTTGCAGCAGATAACTTCATATGTAAGTTAACTCTCATACCAGGACAGGTTGAGGGCCACAGGGGTAATAAGTCTGCAAACCAGACCTCACAAAGCTGATCTTGCCAAAACGTTCAATTCCATTAAATTTCATTCGAGGTTCTGAGATTGGTTAGATTTTGTGATGGGGCAACAGGTTTTCCGCTCTTGGATCCTTCTAAATTTGGCTGAATCTGGCACCTCGCATTTTTACTCATTTCACTCGGGTTGTGGTGGCCCATCTTCGTTTGTTAGGTGTTCGGATGTTGGCTTACCTCGATAACTGGCAGGTGTGGGCTTCCAGCCGATCCACTTGTCTGCTAGCCAGGAATATGGTTACCATATTTGATGGTGTATAAGATGTGCTTTTTTAATTTTTAAATGTATAAAAAAATTGCCATGCGTCTAATGTGGCCGTATTACGGATGAAAGACTGAGCGCTGTAGGCTAGGGAGCTGGACGAGTATCAATTTGGCATTACAGTATGCCACATACTGTAGCCTCTTATTGTGTGGCACTGATGGAGCCGCTGGCGTTTGGGGTTGACACGTCTTCGACCCTATTTCACAACCTTTATCACGCTTTGTTTCATCTCCAGCTTGCTCATGCACCGCCTGAGCCTAACTAGTCTCTTGACTGGGTTCTATCTTTTCTTTCTTCATTTATGAACACTTATGAACACTTTAAATGTAAAGTGTTCATAGGCCACAACTCTCTGGGCCAGGTTCTGGCTTGTGGGCCCTGGTAGGTCAGTGAGAACTTTGCAACTGATGGCACCTAGCAGTATGGCTCTGTATCAGTGATAATATCTTCAGGATGCCTCCAGGGATTACCTAGAAATTGGTGTTTCATTACATTCAATTTTTTTTTCTCTCATGCTTGCACCATATCATACATTTTAATACAAATCTTTCTTCCAGATATAAAAAAGACTCAACAGAATAGCTATGACATTAGCATTGCCACCAGTTGTTACAGGCATCTCCCCCATAGAAGGTGTTCCTGGTACCAAAGTGACAATCCGTGGTGAAAATTTTGGAAACCGCCCAGAAGATCTGATAGGTAAATACACTTACAAGTATTTTCACTTGACTGTTTTGCTGTATTAATTTTGTTAAAACAAGTATAAAAGAAGCCACGTATCAGATATTTCCTGGAGGTTTTTCTTCTGTATCTATCACTACTTTTTACCCCTGGAGTTCCTGCTGGAAAATGTGCAACATCAGAGATACTGTATAGGTAGATTGCTGGCACAGTATATTCAATAAATGTTAAAAAAGCACTACAAGAGCATTTACCTTTGTAGGTTTGACAATATGTGGCGTAGACTGCCTCATGACAGCAGAATGGAAGACGAGCAACAAGATCATAGCAAGGAGTGGGGCTGGCAATGGGAAAGGTGACATTATTGTTACTACACTACAAGGTTCCCGAGGAACTTCAACTGTCCAGTTTAAAGGTAAAGTAGTTGTTTTACTTCTTGTTGCTAAATTCATTGACAAATTTTGGTAAATTTTTAAGCTTTATTAGTATTATTTTAATATTCTTCCAGCCACTTTGGCTTGACGATAGAGTGACGGTCTTGCTTCATGCAGGTCAGCGTTCAATTCGTGACCGTCAGGGTGGTTGGGCACCATTCCTTCCCCCGTCCCTTCCCAAATCCTTATCCTGACCCCCTTATAAGTGCTATAAAGTCATAATGGCTTGGCGCTTTCCCCTGATAATAATAAAAAAAAATTGAAGTCAGTAATAGCTTACCAGCATCAGAACCAAGGAAATATCCAGAAAGTATGCAAAGAAAAACAAACAACTGCAAAATCCACAGAAAAAAAAGAAACGGCAGTAAACGACTCTGTAAACGATCTACCCATTAGTTCGATCCCTCACTAGCTGATTGCTCGGAGCTGCCGACTTCCCATGTCAGCACTCCTGTCTGTTGTCTGATGTCCAACTGTTTAGACTGCTGCTTGAGTTCTCAGCCTTTTGGGTACTAACAAATTCTTGATAAATGTTGGCCATAAGTTAGGTTAATAGCTCTTTGGGGATATGATGGAAGCTAGGGAACCTTCTTTTCTGATTGATTCCCTTGTCTTTTGGAATGGGTCTGGAGTTTTGGCTTACTGGCATTCTTAAGGCTCTGAACTTCAAATGCAATGTAGACTTCCTCCTTGGTCCTTCCTTAGCTGTGATGGGGGTAGATTGCAGGGCATTAAGGTTGCCAGAGGAAGGTTCATGGTGGCCTTTTGACCCTCTTTGGAGTTTAGTTCCTGGCCCTAAGGGTTTGTCCTTCTCTGAACATCTCATTTGCTTCCCTGCAGGTGCAGTTCAAGGTTCTTGCTCATTACCTGGTTTAACCCCTTCCACATTTTCTCATTGTCTTGTCTTCCTATGAGTGTATGTCAGCGTGAATTATTTTTTTACTTTCTGTGGCATCGGGACCGGGCAGCTAAATGGGATAGTTCGTACTTTGCGTACAGGTCCTCTTCCACTTTCAGGCTGTAGTGCAAGGTTTTGGTTTCGTCCTGGCTGGCAGACAACCTTCTTTTCTGGTGGCAGATGACAGATTTGCTGTCATCTGCAGTTGCTTGACCAGGAGAAGGAGGAGGATAACACAGTGGTGGTGGACCATGTGGTTCACATTTGCTTGGTGGATGTTCTCCGTTCTTGTGTGTTGCAAGACGTTTTTCGGGATAGTTTTGGATGGGTGTTGGTCATTTTTCTGTTCACACTACTCCAATGGATTGCAGTTACTGATCACTGGTGGGTTACCCTGTTTTGTTTCACAATTTGCCACCAACTTGCAGGTAGAAGTCCAGGAAGTTCTGGATCAGCCAAGGTTTAGTGGGAATTTTGGTCTGCAGACTGCTACAAGCATTAACTGGGCAGAACAAGTGTGAGAGAGTGTCTCTCAAGATTCTCCCACAGCTGACTGGAATGGCTCATTGCTGTGCACAGTGCACCGATCTTGTGCACAAGGTCCTATTTCTATTAACCCTGGATAGTGACCTGGCTGTTGGGTATGTTGGGTATCTCCAGAATGCCCACTTAACCAGGAACACTTTCATAATACAGAGGCCGCCATATGTCCAGGCAGGAAGTAGATACAGGGAGTTAAGCATACTTGCCACCAAAGGGTCAGTGAGTACATCGGTGGTGGAGCGTGGGAGAGGGGAGATGCTAGCAGCGTCTGACCTCTGGGGTCAACCGGCGCGATGGACAATAACAGCTATGAAGTGTTCGTGACGTGTTCATGACGTCACCTCTCCTACTGCTCATCGAACGAGCTAATATGATTGGTTCCCGCTCATTTGCTGCAATGCCATTGGTCAAATTGTAACTCTTTTGTGCGGGGTGCCACAAGATGCCCGGCAGCACTTGTAAAGCATTCTTGTGAGGGATCTCTAGCAAAGTGGACGTGTTCTGTTCAGTCTACCGGCCAATAGACTGAACAACCGTCTATTCCTCACCGTCAAGTTAACTCAGCGTCTGAAGATTATACGTCACACTCGCCCAGAATCACGAGTGGGAATATATATTATTCAGAAGCCTAAAGTGACAAATCTCCAGAGCGAAACAGACTGGTATCAGGTAACCCCTGGTGACAATGATCATTGTGAGTGACTTAGAGTGAACTAAGGCAGTGCCGCCGCCTAAGTAACCTGTGTGTGACTTTACCACAAGTGCACCTGCATGGTACCACAGCCGCCGCCAGCCGCCACGAGCGTGTACCCCAGTACCCTAGTACCTCTGTACTTCTGTGCCTCGAGCGCCCGCCGCTGCCCTCACACTACTACGTGACGTCACCACCTTGCTCATCGCCAGTGCCAGTGGGTGCGCATGTGTCTGTCTGTTAAGCATACAGCCCTCCTTACTGCAAGTACCCTCCGTGTCTACGAGCGAAGCCAGCTGTCAGGCCACCTACGAGTGCTTGTATAAATGTGCCTGATTGAGTGAGTGAGTAAGGAAAAGGTACCTATCTGTAAGTACAAGATCTTGTCATTGTTTATTGTGTCTGTGTTGATCTGAGGGATCAACCACAGTTCTCACCTTCTCATACCTGTCACAGGTTATAGGTGAATCAACGGTGAATGCGTGTTTATCTGTGTGGTATCACGGCATTTCACTCGTCTGTTGAATGTGAGCTTCACATACACCACACATTTAGTTATTGTGTGATAATATTATTGTGTATGTTATTGCCTGTCCCATTGACAGTGTAGTTGTTGATTTATTGCATATCATCATTTCCAAGTATCCGGTTGGAACTCTTGTGATCCCTTTACATACCGGCAGTTAGGTTGCCGTGTTAATGATTGGCTGTCAACTGTGTTAAGTTAGGTGTTTCTCCACGAGTGGATACGAGTCGTTTAGCCAGACGTCAAGAGTCTCGCTAATACAACCATAGCTTTGCTGACGTCAGTCTAAAGTAAATCAAGCACCCTGTGTATTAGTGGTTAAGTTAGTAAATAAACTACTGTTAAGCTTTATGCGGTGTTTCCGTTGAACCACTTCTGAATACTGTCAATCAAATACTGAAGCCTTCAGCTCTAAGTGTCTTCAACACCGAGTTGCCTATAAGTCACAAACTATAAATGTGATGAGGACCCTAGGAGTCCCTTAAAGTGTTAAATCATTGAGGAGATTCCAACGATCAACGTGGAGCAGGAGAGACTAGTCTGAGAAGAGACCCACAAGGACTCTAACTCGACCTTGCTCCCAGGCCCTGTACGGTTGCTCTCGTATTTTCTATTCTGCAAATTCCGACAGCTTCATGAAGCGTCTGCCACATGTACATTGGCGACGTATGCATTGCAGTCATGAAAGCAAAATAGAAACACCCCACAACAAGTTATTTTAAAACAAGCATACCTTACCTTGAGGTTACCTTGAGGTGCTTCCGGGGCTTAGCGTCCCCGCGGCCCAGTCGTCGACCAGGCCTCCTGGTTGCTGGACTGATCAACCAGGCTGTTAGACGTGGCTGCTCGCAGCCTGACGTATGAGTCACAGCCTGGTTAATCAGGTATCCTTTGGAGGTGCTTATCCAGTTCTCTCTTGAACACTGTGAGGGGTCGGCCAGTTATGCCCCTTATGTGTAGTGGAAGCGTGTTGAACAGTCTCGGGCCTCTGATGTTGATAGAGTTCTCCCTCGGGGTACCTGTTGCACCTCTGCTTTTCAACGGGGGTATTCTGCACATCCTGCCATGTCTTCTGGTCTCAGGTGATGTTATTTCTGTGTGCAGGTTTGGGACCAGCCCCTCAATTATTTTTCCATGTGCAAATTATTATGTATCTCTCCCGCCTGCGCTCAAGGGAGTACAGGTTTAGGCTCTTTAGTCGGTCCCAGTAATTTAGATCTTTTACCGAGTGGATTTTAGCAGTAAAGGATCTCTGCACGCTCTCCAGGTCAGCAATTTCTCCAGCTTTGAAAGGGGCTGTCATTGTGCAGCAGTACTCCACTTTAGAGAGCACAAGCGTTCTGAAAAGTATCATCATCGGTATAGCATCTCTAGTGTGAAAAGTTCTTGTTATCCAACCTGTCATTTTTCTTGCAGTTGTGATGGCTACTTTATTGTGTTCTTTAAAGGTAAGGTCTTCCGACATGAGTACACCCAGATCCTTTACATTGCCTTTTCGTTCTATGTTATGATTTGCCTGAGTTTTGTACGTGGTTTCTGTTTTTATATTTTCAATTTTTGCGTAGCGCATGAGCTGGAACTTATCCTTGTTAAACACCATATTATTTTCTGTAGCCCATAGAAAGACCTGATCTACATCTGATTGGAGGTTTGCCGTGTCCTCTATGTTGCCAACTCTCATGAAAATCCTAGTGTCATCTGCAAAGGATGATACAGTGCTATAGGTTGTGTTCTTGTCTATGTCCGATATGAGGAGCATGGCCCCAGATCAGGCTTGGGGACCAGAAGAACTCTTGAAACTGACTGTATGTAAACTATAGGTAAACACGCAGTTATTTATATTATATACCAGTACCTTTATATGCAGAATAATCACAAAAACAACCTTTATATGTATACATCGATCTGTGTACCATTTTTTTCACCTTTGGACTGGGTTGGATCAAGTATTATTATGCCTCTTAAGGATACTTTGTTTACCAGCAATTTTATATATTTATTGTGGTGTTCTAGGGTACCAGGAGACCATGGGGCCACTAAAGGAGTCAGCTGTTTGGGTGGATGAGACTATTTTCCTCAATATGGCCTTTGGGAGGAAGCGGCCGATGTCACCAGCTTCTGCCCTGCAAGATGACCCACTTGGACTCTCGGTAGAAGGAAATGAGTGAGTACTGTACAGTGGTACCTTGGTTTTCAAATTTAAACCCGTTCCCAGGAACGGGTCGTAAGCCGAAAATTCGCAGCTTGAAACGATTTTTCCTTTAAGAAATAATGTAAATTGAATTAATCCGTTCCACACTCCCAAAAATATTAATTTCTAAATACATTTCATACATAATACTCACAAATATTTTGTACTATAGTATGTACAAGTTATAGCTTACCTTTATTGATGACTCTTGTTGGCATATGGAAGATGGTGACAAAGAGGGAGGGGAGAAGGAGACGTGTTGGTAAGGGGATAACATCAGGCAGTGATGACTTTTCCAGGATACTCTCTCCTACATTTTGCAGGCATACCACTAGAACCTGGTTGTGGCTTGCTGGTTGCTTGTCTTACTAAGAATCTGTCTAAAGCCACTTGTTTTTCCCTACATTTCTAACACTTGTCTGTAGTGAGACATCACATTGTCATTTAAAAAGTCAATGCAACGGCCTGCTACAGCTTTATCTGGGTGAATTTTTTCAACAAAACTTTGCAGTTCTTCCCATACTTCACACATTTTCTGAATGTGAAATTCATTAGTAGAAGTTCCATTGTATTTCAGATTTGTGACTTTTCCATTTTTTTTATAAATACTGGAACCCCTTCTTAAAGAAAAAAAAAAATGTATTGCCAGTTTTCTAATCTTTCATCCCATGTCTCTCCCACAGCTTAAAGGTTCTTGATGAGGATCTGGAAGAGATGTTCCCAGGATGTTCTGGTGATCTGACCTCCACCAAATTTAGTCCAGAATGGTTTTTGCTTGAGAACCATCTTTCTACATCATTTGAAGATTTGCGTGCTGGGCTGGCTTGTCTGCGACGCAAGGTTGAAGCTCAAAAAGAAGGGCAAATATCCTTTCTGAAGGTATGTTGGGTATTATATAAAACCTGTTGGATATAGTAATTGATATATGTTTTATAGGATGATTACAAGAATAGATCATTAAATGTTCTCATTTCTATAATTTTAATTAAATCTGAATGTTTGACCCTTCGCTTTGCCATACATGGTACCCCTCGACATATTTCGTACCAGACATTGCCCACCACCAGTGTTTCATTGGTGCCATTGACAACAAGAGTTTTGCTGCTGCCCTTCCCTTATATTTTTCATATGGCGTTGCTAACATCAGTTGTCCCTTATTTTAAAATTTATTTATACTGTACCTAAATGACTTGTATTATTGTACAATCACTTGGACTAGTTGGGAGAGTGGTGATCTCGTTTCTTGCATGAACATTGTTTGATATCCGATGGTCCAGATGGTTGTCCTCGTATCCCTTCTAAGTGATAAACTGTATAATCATATTGACTAAAGGCTTTCTCTTGATAATTATCTTTTTCGTTTCTTCTTAGATCTTTGCTAAAAAAATCTGCATTATTGTATTATTAAGACAGTGACCTGTGGAAGTATACTGTAGTTGTGAATGCAGCCCATTAAAAATTATGGTTTTTGTCTAACCAGAAACATTTGAACTTTAGCAATCCACCTAACCTATCCATATCAATACTCAGAAAAAATCAATGTTATGAAACCTGAATCGTCATTTCAAGATGCTTAGATGGACCAAACAATGGCAGTGTGCTGTGGCTGCATGCCTAGCACTGTGAACATCATAAACAGCATTGTGTTCACCGATATCTGAACATTGTTGACAGCCTTTATCACAGCCAGGCTCTTCCATGATACATCGTGAAATAATAGCAGTTACATAAGTATATATTTTGTCATAAGTGATGCTGTGGTCACAAGCTCAACAACAGTACAGTGGAACTTTGATTAATGAATTTAATCCATTCCAGCACCGAGCTCGTCGGGTGAAATCCTCGTCTTTCAAAACGAATTTAATCGCTTGATTGGTGATCGCTCATTAATCAAACGAGCGCTCGCTAATCGAGACAAATTGTCGGTGATCGGCGCGCTCATTATTCAAAATGCTCGTCAATTGAGGCGCTCGTCACTCGAGGTTCCACTGTACTGTTAGCTTGTGCTTCATGCACCAGCCTTGGTTGCTCGCTCACTACTGAGGGCTTCACACCCAGGACCATCTGAAAACCAGTGTGAACCCTGTGTACTTGCAAGACTTTTGATTATATATATGAAATGTGCATTGCAGTCAGTCAGGCCAAAATCATATATGTACTGTATATGATATGTGCAGTGGAAGGGTTAATGAAACTCCTTTTTCTGTTGGGCTCTTGATAGATCCCAGTTCCTGTCCTAATCTCTTCTTTCCTATGGGGTATTTGGGGTTCAATATGGGTAGTGTGTGAGTGAAACGAGTGGCTGGTAGGAACCCTGGATGGCTTGTTACTATTTTGTGGCATTTGGGTGCTTCAAGGTTAGTGTTGTGCTCCTGGGGCAATGATTGTGTGCCTTTTGATTTTATTGGTTCTTCTTGGCTTGGGTCTCTCTCTCTCTGATTCTCCAGGCTTCCCTAGACTTGTAGAAGGGACCATATTCTGGTTCTGGCTCCTGGTAGGTTAGTATGGGTTTCAGAGGCATGGTGTATTTCATAAGGCAACCAACATACTGTCAATAGGCAGTTTTGAAGACCCATCAGAAAAGAGCAGTTAATTACATTACGTTAGTGGGTCTTGATATTACAGTTGGATTCGTTCTCGACCCACAATCAAGAATTCCGGGTTCGAATCCCGGGTGGGACAGAAAGGGTTGGGCATATTTCCTTTCACCTAATGCCTCTGTTCACCTAGCAGTTTGTAGCTACTCAGGAGTGAGTCAACTTGTTGTGTGGTTGCATCCTGGGTGGGGTCAGTAATTCAACCTTGGGGTTGGGGGGGGGGGGACCTCAATATAAGCCTAACGTGTGTGAATGCAACTCTGGCTTTCTGTCCCCTGACACAATGAATTATTATTATTATTATTATTATTATGATTTATTAAATGCTTAATTTTTTCAGGCTAATGTTGGATCAGTGATTGAACAATTAGACACCCTGCAAGAACTCAAATGCAAGTTTGAGAGTGACATTCAAGAATATGGCCGGAATTCTACCCAAGTGCTGGAAAAATCCATCATTGGTGAGTGAAACATTAAGGTATGAGAGGCATCAATCTGGAGAAGTATTATAGAAGAAGAAGAATGCTTAGTACATTAAATAATGGTATCCATCTAGTCACCATATCTTGCACACTATAGCATCATAGCATCACCACAACCATACTCCAACAATTTGATCAAAGCAGTGTCCCTCTCCTTCATTGTTGCCACCAGCAGCAGCTAGTTTTTTGTGCACTACATTCGCATCCTGTGACCAGTAGTGCAAAAGGATTACAAAGAGCACAAAAGGTCTTAATTGAACTCCAATGCATATTGTTTGACTTTAGCTTTTACACACCTTGTATTTAAATATGGCCGGAATTTAACCACTACACGATGGGCAGCCCCTGTACTCACCTAGTTGTACTCACCTAGTTGTGTTTGCGGGGGTTGAGCTCTGGCTCTTTGGTCCCGCCTTGACGGTCTCTCGACCGTCAATCAACAGGTAATTACCTAAGTGTAATTACCTAAGTGTAGTTACAGGATGAGAGCTACGCTCGTGGTGTCCCGTCTTCCCAGCACTCTTTGTCATATAACGCTTTGAAACTACTGACGGTCTTGGCCTCCACCACCTTCTCACTTAACTTGTTCCAACCGTCTACCACTCTATTTGCGAAGGTGAATTTTCTTATATTTCTTCGGCATCTGTGTTTAGCTAGTTTAAATCTATGACCTCTTGTTCTTGAAGTGCCAGGTCTCAGGAATCCTTCCCTGTCGATTTTATCAATTCCTGTTACTATTTTGTACGTAGTGATCATATCACCTCTTTTTCTTCTGTCTTCTAGTTTTGGCATGTTTAATGCTTCCAACCTCTCCTCGTAGCTCTTGCCCTTCAGTTCTGGGAGCCACTTCGTAGCATGTCTTTGCACCTTTTCCAGTTTGTTGATGTGCTTCTTAAGATATGGGCACCACACAACAACTGCATATTCTAGCTTTGGCCTAACAAAAGTCATGAACAATTTCTTTAGTATATCGCCATCCATGTATTTAAATGCAATTCTGAAGTTAGAAAGCATCGCATAGGCTCCTTGCACAATATTCTTTATGTGGTCCTCAGGTGATAGTTTTCTATCTAGAACCACCCCTAGATCTCTTTCTTTATCAGAATTCTTTAAAGATTTCTCACATAATATATAGGTTGTATGGGGTCTATGTTCTCCTATTCCACATTCCATAACATGACATTTATTAACATTAAATTCCATTTGCCAGGTGGTGCTCCATATACTTATTTTGTCCAGGTCTTCTTGAAGGACATGACAATCATCTAAATTTCTTATCCTTCCTATTATCTTAGCATCATCAGCAAACATGTTCATATAATTCTGTATACCAACTGGTAGATCATTTATGTACACAATAAACATCACTGGTGCAAGAACTGAACCCTGTGGTACTCCACTTGTGACATTTCTCCATTCCGATACATTGCCTCTGATTACTGCCCTCATTTTTCTATCAGTCAGAAAATTTTTCATCCATGATAGAAGCTTACCTGTCACCCCTCCAATATTTTCCAGTTTCCAGAACAACCTCTTATGTGGAACTCTGTCGAAAGCCTTTTTTAGGTCCAGATAGATGCAGTCAACCCAGCCATCTCTTTCCTGTAATATCTCTGTGGCCCGATCATAGAAACTGAGTAAATTCGATACACAGGATCTTCCTGATCGAAAACCATACTGTCTGTCTGATATTATATCATTTCTCTCCAGGTGTTCTACCCATTTAGTTTTGATTAGCTTTTCCAATACTTTCACTATTACACTTGTCAATGATACAGGTCTATAATTGAGGGGGTCTTCCCTGCTGCCACTTTTGTAGATTGGAACTATGTTAGCCTGTTTCCACACGTCTGCTACGATTCCTGTACACAGGGATGCCTGAAAGATCAGGTGAAGTGGAATGCTGAGCTCAGATGCACATTCTCTCAGAACCCATGGTGAAACGCCATCTGGGCCAGCTGCTTTGTTCCTCCCGAGCTCCTTTAGCATATTTTCCACTTCAACTCTAGACACCTCTATCCGCTCTATGTTGTTCTCTGGAATTCTTATTGTGTCTGGTTCTCTGAAGATTTCATTTTGTACAAACACACTTTGGAACTTTTCATTTAATGTTTCACACATTTCCTTTTCATTTTCCGTGAATCTGTTTCCCATTTTCAACCTCTGGATATTATCCTTTACCTGCAATTTGTTGTTTATGAATTTGTAGAATAGGCCCGGTTCTGTTTTACATTTATCTGCTATCCCTTTTTCAAAATTTCTTTCTGCCTCTCTCCTTACTGCTGTATAATTGTTTCTCGCATCTTTGTATCGCTGGTATGTTTGGGGGTTTGGCCTCTTCCTATACTGATTCCATTTTTGTGTCTTTTGGTCTCTTGCCCTCTCACAATTTCTGTCGAACCAATCCTGTTTTCTGGTCCTGCATCTCTGTTTTGGTATGAATGTTTGTGTGCCTTCCTCGTATAGTTTTAAAAATTTGGCATACATTTCATTTACTTCCCTGCCTAGCAACAATTCTGTCCAATTACACTCATTAAAAAAATTTCGAAGTTCCCCATAGTTGCCTCTCTTTAAATAGAGTTTATCAACTGTTTCAATGTCCCCATTTTCTTCTAGATGATATCTTAAAGCATATTTAATGTCTAACAGGACGTGATCACTCTTTCCCAAGGGAGGAAGGTACTGGATGTCAAAAATTCAGATTCCTGAGCCTATTGGGCTCTATCATATCTACACTTGAAACTGTGTATGGAGTCAGCCTCCACCACATCACTTCCTAATGCATTCCATTTGTCAACCACTCTGACACTAAAAAAGTTCTTTCTAATATCTCTGTGGCTCATTTGGGCACTCAGTTTCCACCCGTGTCCCCTTGTGCGTGTGCCCCTTGTGTTAAATAGCCTGTCTTTATCTACCCTATCAATTCCCTTCAGAATCTTGAATGTGGTGATCATGTCCCCCCTAACTCTTCTGTCTTCCAGCGAAATGAGGTTTATATCCCATAGTCTCTCCTCGTAGCTCATACCTCTCAGCTCGGGTACTAGTCTGGTAGCAAACCTTTGAACCTTTTCCAGTTTAGTCTTATCCTTGACCAGATATGGACTCCATCCTGGGGCTCCATACTCCAGGATTGGCCTGACATATGTGGTATACAAAGTTCTGAATGATTCTTTACACAAGTTTCTGAATGCCGTTTGTATGTTGGCCAGCCTGGCATATGCTGCTGATGTTATCCTCTTGATATGTGCTGCAGGAGACAGGTCTGGCGTGATATCAACCCCCAAGTCTTTTTCCTTCTCTGACTCCTGAAGAATTTCCTCTCCCAGATGATACCTTGTACCTGGCCTCCTGCTCCCTACACCTATCTTCATTACATTATATTTGGTTGGGTTAAACTCTAACAACCATTTGTTCGACCATTCCTTCAGCTTGTCAAGGTCTTCTTGAAGCCTCAAACAGTCCTCTTCTGTTTTAATCCTTCTCATAATTTTAGCATCGTCCGCAAACATTGAGAGAAATGAATCGATATCCTCCGGGAGATCATTTACATATATCAGAAACAAGATAGGACCGAGTACAGAGCCCTGTGGGACTCCACTGGTGACTTCACGCCAATCAGAGGTCTCACCCCTCACCGTAACTCTCTGCTTCCTATTGCTTAGATACTCCCTTATCCACTGGAGCACCTTACCAGCTACACCTGCCTGTCTCTCCAGCTTATGTACCAGCCTCTTATGCGGTACTGTGTCAAAGGCTTTCCAACAATCCAAGAAAATGCAGTCCGCCCAGCCCTCTCTTTCTTGCTTAATCTTTGTCACCTGATCGTAGAATTCTATCAAGCCTGTAAGGCAAGATTTACCCTCCCTGAACCCATGTTGGCGATTTGTCACGAAGTCCCTTCTCTCCAGATGTGTTACCAGGTTTTTTCTCACGATCTTCTCCATCACCTTGCATGGTATACAAGTCAAGGACACTGGCCTGTAGTTCAGTGCCTCTTGCTGTCGCCCTTTTTGTATATTGGGACCACATTCGCCGTCTTCCATATTTCTGGTAGGTCTCCCGTCTCCAGTGACTTACTATACACTATGGAGAGTGGCAAGCAAAGTGCCTCTGCACACTCTTTCAGTATCCATGGTGAGATCCTATCTGGACCAACAGCCTTTCTAACATCCAGATCCAGCAGGTGTCTCTTGACCTCCTCTCTCGTAATTTCGAACTCTTCCAAGGCCGCCTGGTTTACCTCCCTTTCTCCTAGCACAGTGACTTCACCTTGTTCTATTGTGAAGACCTCCTGGAACCTCTTGTTGAGTTCTTCACACACCTCTCTGTCATTCTCTGTATACCTGTCCTCGCCTGTTCTAAGTTTCAATACCTGTTCTTTCACTGTTGTTTTCCTTCTGATGTGACTGGAGTAGCTTTGGTTCGGTCTTGGCTTTGTTTGCTATATCATTTTCAAAACTTTTCTCTGCTTCTCTTCTCACCCTGATGTACTCATTCCTGGTTCTCTGGTATCTCTCTCTGCTTTCTGATGTTCTGTTATTCCGGAAGTTCCTCCACGCCCTTTTGTTCAGTTTCTTCGCTTCCAGTTTCTTCACTTCCTGTGGTGTAGTGGTTAAGACACTCGCCTGGCGTTCCACGAGTGCTTTGTCCTGGGTTCATATCCTGGCTGAGGAGGATTTACTGGGTGCAAATCCTTAACTGTAGCCTCTGTTTAACTTGACAGTAAAATGGGTACCTGGTTGTTAAACAATTCTTTGTGGGGGGTTGTATTCCAGAGAACATAGGATTAAGGACTTGTCTGAAATGCTACGCGTACTAGTGGCTGTAAAAGAATATAAGAACTCTTGTATATATCAATAATAATAATACTGTAATAATAAGAAAATAATGAACATTAGTAAGATAACTCTATTATTATTACTGGAACAGCTGTGTTTAATAATGTAATATTACACATTGTCAGTAAGCCATTTTGGTAATACAGTACAGTATGTTATTTTTGGAAATGTTAAGGCAGAGCTGGTAGTGAAACACCCGTCTTGTCCACATGGCATTTATTTACAACAGACAGTGACGTCACACTGGGTATAGGTGCCATGAATATAAACATTACATACCTTATAGACAAATGAGCATTGACTCTTAACATTATGAACCTAATCCAAGGTGACCTTAATCCTAACACAGTGATTAGCATAGTTTTCATTATTGGATATTATAGGGTAACACAAGTGTTCTAATTTTCAATTTTAGGCTATTCTAGTATACCTTATATTTTTATTACATATGGATACAGTGCAAGTTCTCTTTTGAACACTGCGAGAGGTTGGCCAGTTATGCCCCGCATGTGTAGGGAAAGTGTGTCGCAGTCTTGGGCCTTTGATGTTGATTAAGTTCTCTCTCAGCATACCTGTTGCACCTCTACTTTTCAATGGGGCTATCTTGCACATCCTGCCATGCCTTCTGATCTCATGGTGTTATGTCTGTGTGCATATTTGAAACCAGTCCTAATATTTTCCAAGTGTAAATTATTATGTATCTCTTCTGCCTGCACTCTAGGAAATACAGATTTAAAAATTTTAGACGGTCTCAATAATTTAGATGTTGAGTGGATTCTAGCAGTAAAGGATCTTTGTACACTATCTAGATCAGCAATTTATCCAGCTTTGAATGGGGCAGTGTGCAACAATATTCCACTAAGTGAGTACAGTACTAATGTCTTGAGACGTATCATCATTGACGTGGCATCTCTTGTTTGGAGGGGTCTTGTTTGTTATCCAACATGTCATTTTTATTTCAGTTCTGACAGCAACTTAGTTGGGTTCTTTAAAAGTAAGGTCTTCTGACATGATTACTCCTAAATTTTAAATCTTTTATATTGCTTTTTCTTTCAGTAGTGTGGTTTGACTGTGTTTTATATGTGGTTTCTGCTTTGATGTTTTTGTTTCTTTCCATAGCGCAGTAATTGGAACTTATCCTTATTAAACATCTTGTTATTTTCTGTGACCCATTGAAAGACTTGATTAACATCAGATTGACGAGTTGCAGTGTCCTCTATATTGTCTACTCTCATGAAAAATCAAGTGTCATCTGTGAAGGATGGACGCTGGTAAGTTCTCCTTTTCCTTTTTGTTCTCCTTGGTGAGATAGCAACAGGGAGCCACCTCATCAGCCCTCCTAGAATATTAGTACTGAATGTAATGAAATGCCTCTTGTGGGTCCAAGGAGGTTCCCTTGTCCTCGTCCAAGCGAGTCAGTGTTTTGGGTGGCTCTTGACGGAGGTGGCTTGCTGGCTGATCTGGGAGCTCCTAGTGCTGCCACCTGGTGAACTACGTAATTGCTGGGTGCATCATTAGCCAAGTTGTTTAAGTTGTTTTGTCTTGTTTTGTCCCACTTTATTGGTGGCTGCTTTCATGATGAGGGTGATCACAGATTCCCTGCTCTTTTGTGTCTCGGAAAGGGGACCAGATTTTGGCCTGGTCTTTAGTAGGCTCTAATTGACTGGCAAGGGCCTGATGTGATTGGATGGGTGAGAAACTAATCAGTGCAGTTAGCATCAGGGACCCACCAGAATGAGTCCTTTTATTACATTCAACACTGGTTTTATTCATTTTTAAATGCATGCATTTCTCATTTTTACAGAATGTAAGGAGGAAGCAGATAAGCTTTTTGAAGATGTACTTCAACGCAAGGATCGAGCAGATGGGACAAGAAATGCTCTGAATGTTTTACATCGTTTCCGTTTCCTCTTGTATCTACCGGTAAACATAGAGCGGCATATACAGAAAGGCGATTATGATGTGGTTATAAATGATTATGCTCGAGCCAAGAGTCTCTTTGGTGATACACAAGTTCCAGTAAGTAAATATTGAGGGCATATATGAAGTAATAATCCTAAGCTCAAACAAAATATATTTTTGTTTTCATGAATAGATTTTAAATTTCAAATTTGGTAGGACATCACATAAATTAAAAATCACTTGATTCAAAGTGACTTAATGCATGGGAGCTTTTATTTAGTATGTCAGGCCCACTGGCAACCCAGTAGGGCCATTTTTGTAAGGGCATAAGCCTCTAAGAAATACCCCTAGAGTACAGACTATTGAAACCTGTCCTCCTTAGAAATAGTAAGAATTATAATCTACTTTAGCCTACTTTTGACACTAATCCAATAATCACATGTACCTGGGCAGATACTCTTCACCCCTAGGGTTAAACAAGATTAAGGTAGCGAACGGGGAAAACAATAGTGCTTTTCTCTACAAGGGTTATATTACTATGGCTTAAGGTTACTTTAGAATGTTTATTTCTGGAGTCTAAAAGTTACTCTACAAGATACATGTACTATTAAAAATAACAGTGATAATTTTACAGAACATGTACTTAGCATAAGAATTACTTTTAATACTTGTCCCACTGAAACTGGGACTTAAGGTAGCTACGTTACTTTACACTATTCACAATTCAAATAGTAAAATTCCAGGTACACTAACACAAAGGTCACATTAACACACTAACATAGATAATGACTGGTAAACATAGAACACGTGCTTCGCAATAGCCACACTGTGATGGACAAAAATAAAACACTTAAAACTAGCCAAACACAGGAGCTTTTACACAATCTAAATTTATAAATGTATCCTACACCAAACTGAGTTAAAGCAAGCAATACTATACAACCAAAGGCACTTATCGTAAATGTTGAAAACCACCAAGCAACACACTGATGTTGGCCGTCTTCCACGATTAACACTTTCGCCCGGGCATGACGCAGCATTGCGTCATCCGTTTACTGTCAGTAATGACGGGCATGACGCAGCATTGCGTCATCCACTTTAAATAATCGCCAAAAATCAGGTTTTTATCCGATTTTTTTGGGACTGGTTTTAAAATGCGCGCCGATGTCTTCCCATTTTCTTTGTTGCGCCTCGTGGCCCGCAGGCGGCTCGGCACACGCCGTCGCCCATTGTTTTCGCTCCACTGTTGTGACCGGTGTCGCCTCCCCTCGCATCTCAAACATGTGAACATTTCAGCTATTTTCCGTGGCTATATTTCTTACTGCGGCTTTAGAAACTATCTACGCTTACTCCACGATGGATAGTGATCATGAACAAGGCCCTTCCAGGATGAAAATTGCGAAAGAAAGGCTTGAAAAGGGCGGGAATTGGGAGTGTAGCTGGAAGGCGTCTGAGCGCTCACTCGCGGCTAACGCATGGCCAGTCTTCAACTCGTCGGCGGTTGGAGCGTGACCAGGTTTTTTATTTTATATGCTAATGTTCCTCTAGAGAATTCAATTGCGAACCCATTGAGACCAAAATGAAAGACCTAGGATAAAAATTGAGTTGACCAGAGTGAAAATAGTGAAAACATTTTATCGCGTTTGCGCGCTCCTGGGTAACTCATTCGCACTTTCTCTGTTTGCTGCGGGTAATTAGCTGGGCTTTTGGAGTTTATATGCATTTAGTGCTGTAGAGAATTCTATTGCGAACACAATGATACCAAATTTAATCTCATAGGACGAGAATTAAGGTGACAAAGTTGAAGAGAGTATACACTTTTCAGAATTTACGCGCGCTCCCGTGAAACCCTGGGACCCAAATCGCACAGTTGAGGGGTGGCGCGCGGGGCATGCCAAAGTGTTAACGATAGAGAGCACTTCTACCTCACAGTATAGTAGCCTCAGGGAGCCATTAGGGCTCACCCAGAAATTGGCATTTCATTACATTCAATGCTGGGTTTTTCTATGTATCACCATGTCAACATATTTAGCTTATTTTCAAAATGAAGTTGGTAAATTTATCACAGCTCTTAATTTAGGCTTATTTGAATTTCACAGTGCAGTACAGTAATTTAAATAATGTTAAGCCTTTTTTATTTTTTTATAGCTTTTCCGTCGATTCTACAGTGAAGTGGAAAAGCGTATTGATGACTTGAGAAGTGTACTTGGTGAACAGCTGACCCAAATGCCTTCATCCCTTGAGCACCAAAAGAAAATAATAAGGTATGAATTTGTCGCATGAAAGGTCATTTACAGTCCTATAGGCTCCATAGCACAGTGGTCTATGTCCTTGGCTCACAAGCAAAGGTGTAATGGGAAAATAGGACATGAAATGGAGAGGGTAATTGAATATGTAATTGGGAAGGAAAATATGTAATGGGGACCTCATAATAGACATGTGATGGGGAAGGGGAAATAATGATCATGTAATAGGTTTCACAGGTAATTATAAATGAATTAGGCATGCAAATGGAAAGTTTTATGCATCTTAAAAGGGAAAAAAAATTAGTTCAATAACAGCAATGTACTGGATCAAACAAAATAATATTAATGAATACAGAAATAAACACATGGATTGGAAGAGCTTTGTCAGTTTCTGCATCATGGCTGGGCCTCGTGTTTTGTACACTTAATGTGGCTGAAAATTTTCACCAAACCACACACTAGAAAGTGAAGAGACAATGATGTTTCAGTCTGTCCTGGACTAGATAAAGGTCCAGGACAGACCAAAACGTCGTCGTCTATTCACTTTCTAATGTGTGGTTTGGTTAACATTGCATCTGATCCTGGTACGTTGCCATAGTAAACCTGCTTGATGGTAGCAGACACACAAGTAGGTGAGACACGACTCCTGTGTCATCCTCGGAGGTTTCATTGATTGTTTCTATTGATTTACAAGAGTATGTGTGTTAAATAACTTGGTAATTTACATAACGCATGATAATGTTTCAAGTGAGGATTGGTTTACCTGGTACACATCATTATAACCATATATAGTAGTATAAACCATAAAGACATACTTTACTTGTGTGTTGGGCTCTGGGTAGTGACATAGGGCCTAGTTGGCACCATATAGGCAACAGTATAGATTGAAAAGAGCATAAACGATCAATGCGCCACCCATAAATGACAGCAGGCTCCTAGTACATGTAATGCATGATAATGATTCAATTTACCTGGTATACCTCATTACAACCATATGGAGTTGTGAAAACCATATGAACATCATTGGTATACATACCACATAATTAAGGTCAAATTTTATAGTGACGATGACTGCATTCATGCAGTAACATTTATGATAACTGAATTCACATAGTAATGTAACCATGAAATGATAGCAGGATTTTGTTCATGGGTCAGGGTAAATTCCATTACATCCACATAGAGCTATTATTTTCTTGTTTGCATCATACTGTACATGTAAAATCCAAACAATAATTTTTAAAATCATCATAAGATGATAACCACATTACCCCTTGAACCAACATACGACGATAACAAGTATCTAAGGGTTAAGATGGTCGAGATTGGTCTGGGACCTTCAACCCCCCACATTTATCTTCTGTGGTGTGGTTCTGGGACCATCTTTAAACTAGGCTTCTGTACTTTCAGAATTATAGACTTATCTTTGTAGAGTTTAGTTACTGTTATGTATTTGCAGAAATCTTCATCATTTGGAGACTCCTGGTGACCCAGCTTGGCAGTGCCTCTCTGCACAGCATGAGTACATTCTTCATCTTCTCATGTCTGTCCGTGATACTCATCTCAATCGGGAGATGGCAGATCATGACCTGGGCTCTGGGGGAGGAAAGATGAATACTGGAGCAACAGGTGGTGCCAGACATTCTACACCAGCAGCCAAATATAACAAGATTATGATGTCATCTGTTGGAGAGTGGCAGGTTAATGATAATAATGGCATTATTGTGCCATTTCTCACTTTTATGAGGCATGTGGGATTATGTATCGAGTTAATTTATTTGATTTAATTTACTTTCAACGTGGACTGTATACTCAATTGGTAGATTAATGAACTGTATATTTAATGTTCATTGATAAACTGCATTTCATAGGGCTCATTGCACATAAAACCACAGGATGGGGGTTGTACAGTATTGTTAGAATAATTAGGATAGAGCAGAATGGGTTATTTATTATTATTGTAACTCTTCCTATCTGTCTGTATATCTCCCATCTCTCCATCTATGTATCTATCCAGCTATCCATTCATCTACCCATCCATCTATCAAACTGTCCATCCATCTATACACCCATAAAAGAAACCACAATCAAAGATGAGGAATACCAAAACAATTTCTACCAAACAAGCCATCTTCAGTGGCCAGAATAATACAATCAGGGAAGAGGAGGAGTATACAAGGACCCAGCATGGGAACAGGAAATAGAGGAGGGGGGGGGAGGTGAGAGGGGTAAGGAAGGTGGCAAGAGCAAAGGTGTTCATCTTGCCACCTTGGTAATGCCATCGGGCATTACCAGGGCATCAGCGGAAACAAAACATGGAGAGATATGACAGTAGGGGAAATGAGGTAATGCACAGAAACAACACAAACAGTGAAATGAACCACAAAGTTAAACTCAATAAACAACGTATAAGAACTCGTGGAAAATGAACCACATTCCATTCATGATGTCTCGACTTCGTCCTCCTTCCTGCGGTTCTCCCTCCCAGGTGAGTGCCCATTTGTTCCTTCTCCATGGCTAGCTAGCTTCAGGCGCTTCCCCCAGAAAAATCAATTTGTGGTTGAGCCTCAAGTGACTCCCCGACACCCTCCAGGTCATTGAGGGTGTTTGCATCATCATAAAATTGTGGGTGGAGCAGCTGGCTGACCATGGGGTGCCTTCCTCCTTCCCTGAACGAGTAGGGGAGGTGGGGCGAATGAGCTAGCTATAATTTCATAAAATTTTGATCATTTGTTTACATAGTTTGGGGAGTTCTTTTGATGGCTTTCAAGGCTGCAGACTTATTTAATGCCAGAGGTGGTTTGTTTTGTTTCCCTGACTTTCTGGTGCCTTTCTCTGTGGGTGGCAGACATGAATAAATTCATATAAATTTTATCATTTAGGGAGCCATAAGGGACTCGCCCAGAAATTGGTGTCTCATAGCAACACTGGTTTTATAAATTAGTATTAATAACCTAACCCTGACATAGAAAATTAAAGGAGTGACGACATTTTAGTCCGTACTGGACACGAGTCATGATCCAAGGATCAAGTCATGATCCTTGATTAAGGTCCAGGGTAGACCAAAACATTGTTGCTCATTTCATTCATATATGTGAATTGGGTTATTTATTTCACCTACATTATTGTGACTTCTTATAAATATTAATAATATTTAACATTAATAAAAAGAAATGGTAGCTAATTTGAATCAAAATGAAAACTACTGTATCTTGTTTCACAGGCTTCAGCCCCTGTTCGTGTCCTAATGGTGGAGGAAATATGTGAAGTGTTGTCAACCAACTTTCCAGACATGTGGAAGCTTAGTCAAGCATACTTTGGTGGTGAGCTTCTACCTCCAACTGCTCAAGTAGACCACTTCAAACATCCCAGGTGCAAGGTCGGTATACCACATTACATTTTATACTTGTTATCCATATATGGTTCTGGTTTCAGAAAACGTATGGTAATTTGGAAGATTTAAAAGAGCCACAATGACCTGAGCCAAGCATGCAAACATACAGGAAGCTAGAACAAATCCAAACAGTAAAGAAGAACCCAAGATGGTAAGACAGCTGCCCCACACCAAAAAGAGTCAAACCCTGGACTCCAACAGAAAAACGGGATGAGACAAGATGCATCCCAGTAGCCCAGTGAAGCAGCTAAGGGGGCCACCCTGGGAATAGACAGGACATTGACAATGTAGACAGTCGGAAGAGCAAGACAAACCAGGTTAGCCATGAAGCATCAAAGACTAGCAAGCCCCAGGACAGAACTGGGAGAAAGCAGGAAAACCCACAAAAGAGACAAACTCGTTTTGATCAACACCGGAAAAGCCAACACTAAGGTGACCTGAAACAGGTGAAAGGAGGAATCCTACCTAGAAGCCCAGAAGACCTGAAAAAAGGAGGTGGCTGACCAGCCACATTACGGACCAAAAAGTGCACGAACACAGGACCAGAAGAGAAACTGATCAAGCTGCTCCCCACCTCCTAGGCAAAGGACACAAAAGGACCGGCATGAACAAAGAGAGGCAGCCCACAGACGAGAGCGAGCACATAGCATCAATTGGAGCATCTGTTGGAGCTGAATGGGACGAAGGATGTTGGGCCTGACAGAATGTTACCATGGATACTAAAAGAGGGATGTAGAGGCAGTGTGCGACACACTGTGGTATATAACAGGTTATTGAAAACAGGAGAACTACTGAAAAGTTGGAAGACAGCCAATGTAATCCCAATTTACAAAAAGTGTGACAGGCACTGTGTGTGGCACTGAACTTCATGGTTCACTCAGGCATGTAAGGAGGCAAAACAATTAAGTACAAGAACATTGAGAAATTACAGAAATAGCCGAATACTAGAGAACCAGGAATGAATACCTCAGAGTGAGGACAGAAGCAGAGAGACAATATGAAAATGACATTGCAAGTAAAGGTAAGACCCAACTAAATCTACTCCACAGCCATATCAGGAGAAAACAGCAGTGAAGGAACAAGTGATGAAACTGAGAAAATAGAACAAAAACACAGAGAATGACAAGGTGGTGTGTGATGAACTCACCAAGAGATTTCAGGAGGTCTTCACAAGAGAGCAAGGAGAAGTCTCTGTACTGAGAGAGGTGGTGGTAAACCAAGCAAGGTGGCGTGTTGAGCTTGAAACCATTGCTCCTTGTATGTGTTACATCTGACCTTTTGAAAAAATAATCAGGATCAATCTATTCCAACTTGAGGCAAGAGGCACTGAACTACAGACCAGTTTCCCTAATTTGTGTACCTTGCAAGGTGATGGAGAAGATCGCGAGGAAAATGCTCGTAGAACATCTGGAGAGAAGGAGCTTTGTAACACACCACCAGCATGGGTCCAGGGATGGTAAATCATGCCTCGCAGGTTTAATTGAATTCTATGACCAGGCAATAAAAATTAGGCAAGAAAGAGAAGGGTGGGCAGACTGCATTTTGTTAGGCTGTCAGAAACCTTTTGATACAGTATCCCATAAGAGACTGTTACAAAAGTTGGAGAAACGAGCAGGAATAACATATAAGGTGCTCCAGTGGATAAGGTAGTGTCTTGGCAACAGAAAACATTGAGTTACTGTGAGGAAGACCTGAGAGTGGCGAGATAGCACCAGCGGAGTCCCACAGGGCTCTGTACTGGAGCCCATCCTGTTTCTGATATACATATGTAAACGATCTTCCAGTGGGTATACTCATTCCTCTCAATGTTAGCAGAAAAATTATTTTTCAGAACAATTTTTTTGTGCATGACAGTTAATGCATTAAAATAACCTGTGCAGTTAGGGAATTAAACAAATATTTCAATACAGATTTTGTATCATATTTTTGGATGGTTGGCAATTTTTTTTATTGTGATAGAAAATCTTAAAATTGTAGTTACATGTCACAAACTAATTTTATATAATCTTTTTTTTCAGGAAATGATTCTTGAGCTGCTACATGTATTTAGTGGGTTGATGAGAGGAGCAATAATGCCTCTTTCTCTACACCCAGATGGACAAAACTTCAGAGATTATCATGTCTGGCCTGAAGTTTCATTAGACCAAATTTCTCCTTGGCTTCCACAGGTAGGCTATGCATAAAAATTTGTAGTTTTGAAGCAGGAGTAAAGCCAGATTGTATCCAGGATGAGGTTTACGAATCTGTCAGTTCAAAAGTCCTCCGTTGTTGCTTTGTAGATCTCCCAGTCTATTGATCTCAAGTTGAAGTCACTAGTATCAACAATCTTGATTTATCTTTGTGCTCTTACTATCATCTGTCTCATGGTCATTATGAGCCCCTCTCGTTTGTCATTTTGCTCCTTCTTTGTCCATGTGTTGCTTGCGGGTGGACTGTAGGCATTTATGATTATCCCTTTATCATCCAGATTACAAATCTCCAGAGCCATTATGTCAACTTCTTGTGAGTTGTCAATTATTAATTCTTTTACATTTAGGCGTTCTTTCACCAGCATGGCGATGCCTTCTACCTACTACCGTATGAGAAATGAAAAGCAACAGAAGAATCCATGGTTCACTCAGGCATGTAAGGAGGCAAAGCAATTAAGTACAAGAACATTGAGAAATTACAGAAATAACCGATTACTAGAGAACCAGGAATGAATACCTCAGAGTGAGGACAGAAGCAGAGAGACAATATGAAAATGACATTGCAAGTAAAGTAAGACCCAACTAA